CAAAGCACCAATGCCTTTGTTCTGCCACCAGCAGCAGCAGCAGCGCTGCAACCTGGTGGCAAGCTGGCTCATGCTGCCTCGGGGACACACGCGGGCTGTGATGCAGAAAAGATCTTAATTACATAGCACAAGATAACATGCCAAGGTGCATCAGGAGAGATACTCGTGCTTTCTGCTGGCTTTAGGCGTTAGCACTCGCAGAAGCTATGACAGTGAGCAAGTGAAACACTGTCACCAGCCTGAGCACCAGGATCCAGCCCTGGTTGGAGCAATGCCACGAATTACCACGTCCTGGCTTCGGCCAGCTGTCCACCCTGCATATTGTCAAACTAGAAAACAGATACTTTGAGGTGATGCTAACAAGCGATGCGTCTTGGAAGCTGCAAAATAAACCTGAAAAATAAACCAGACCTGCCGCCCCTTAAGGGGTTCCTACAGCCTAATAAGCCACAACCCCATCACCAGCACAAATCCTGACCGGCTCCTGGCTGAAAAACCACCCTCAAAAACTACACAGAGCAGTTCCCCTGCCTCCCCTTACCCCCAGCAGCCTCCAGGCAGGAGCACCTAACACCGAGCATTTCATTTTTGCCAGATTTCCAGTGCAGCACAAAAGGATTACGAGGTCTATCACCTTATACCACAGTGCTCCCATTCAAGTCCCAATTTTATTCATTTGTGAATGCTTTTGCACCTCTTATCACATGCTGAGGTGTATTAGCCCAGGGTTAGGATTCAGTCCCCATCTCACGCACTTGAGATTTATCACCTCGAGTGGGATTTACACCACGGTTTTAGGAAGATGCAAGACTTCATTTGCACACAGCAGACAAAAAAAAAAAAAAAAACCACAGCCCTTCCATGATACAGACTGGAAGACCTGCAGAAGGATGGTGTCTCTCCCTCTTCTGACCATAGAGGGAGCTGATTCTCCAGCATTAGCCTTCCCAAAAAGCAGCACACGAGCTCCCAGCCCCAACATACAGCCCAGAAATTATTTTGGCCCCTTTCCCCAGCACAACACCCAGACCTCACATGCGGAGGAAGAAGGCAATTTAGATTAAATAATTAAGGGCTCTGGATGCTGTTTCCCCCTAAACTACCTGTAGATCACAGAGGGGGGGAAAAAAAAAAAAAAAAAAAAAAAAAAAAACAACACAGAAACGCTTTCTTAGATATGATTGATTGCTCTTGCTGAAGTTCAACACAGGAAAAGAAATCAGAGAGGAAAACCCTCCACCGTTTGGCTGGCGAGTCATCATGCACTATAGCTCCCGCATTTAAATGAATGATAAATTGCTTTTAAGAAGTGACTTAAGTCAGTGAGCATGTTATTAATCTTGCACTGGAGAACAGTCTTCCTATCCTCCTGTTCCGTAAATCACCCAAAGTGTTTAGAGGTTTGTCTGACAAGCTCCGAAGCCGTATCTTCCTTGTCAATCTTATCAACCACTTGTTTAATTGTAAAAATGTAAATAAAATGCAGCACGAGCTGGCCCAATGCCTCATGACTCGCACATTGCCTCCGAAGGGAGAGGAACAGGAGGTTCCCCAGCTGCACTCGAGGCTTTTCAAGGATCAGAACAACACCAATGAATGAGCCGTGTCTGGCCCCAGAGCACAGCAGCAGCTTGGTGAGAACAAGATGCACATGCCAGGAAAGCATCCGTGATTTCCTTGTGCCTGAGCAGCATCAGGTCAGGTATTAACTGAAGAGCAAGACCCCCTGGGGCAAAAAATAAACTGGAACAATGTCACATGTGGCTTTGTTCACCATCCTTGGGATCACCCAGGACTTTGTTCATCATCATCTAGTGCTACACCAGACAGAGATGCTTTTGGTGGCAGCAGGGATTATGAGCGCTAAGGGATGTAATTCAGTGATGGGACTCGGCAAGTCATGTTGATGGCTGGCCTTGATGTTCTTGAAGGTCCTTTCCAACCTAGAGGATTATATGAAAGACAATCCCAGCACTGGCTTCTCTGGTGTTAATGGAGTGTGCTCAGCCGGCTCAGGTTGCACTGGTAAATAAAACATCTCACTTCAACATCAGGACGCTCAGCCAAGTAAGTGGATACCCAACACAAAGGGTAAGCTGCTAATTACATCCCAGCGTGCAAAGACATTGCTGATGATACCGCACACACACTGAAAAATTAATGGCCAGCTAGGACTTGAATGTGCACCACCACAAGGCTTTTCAAGTCCTCTGGCAACTCCTACCTCTGCAAGCCCAACATCAGCATCTCATCATCACGTCTTGGGACCTGAGGCTGTGAAATTGCTCTCAGCATCGGTGGGAAAGCACCCATAGAGGAGGAACTCTTACTGGAGAGCAATCTGCTCCCCCAGCATTAGCTGGGGTAAGAAGTCACTTCCAACTTTGGGAGCTGGAAAGGTGCACAATGGTCTAAAGATCTAAAACATGTTGGTTTTTTTTTGTATCTTCCAAAAAAAAATCCCCAACAGAAGAACATGTCAGCTAAGGATGTGTTGGCTACCTACAGCCTCCACCCACACACCGCAGAGCAGACCATTTTCCAAAGCAGTTCAAGCACCTCAGCTTCACCGAAGGCAAGTAACACCAAAAGGCCCTTTAGGAAAGCTGATTTAACACACAGCATTTATGAACAGCTTTGGGTTACGCTTCTCCCATCCTGGTGCATTCTTTGACCCTCGCAGAAAGGCATTAAAGCAGCGTGGCAGAGATCTTGTTAAACAGCCACTTGCTAAATCAAAAACCCAAATCAATAGCATAGGCATAGCCTGACTTTAAAAACTACTTACAAACTAAATTAAAGAGCAGCCGCGTTGCCAATTGACAAGATTAGAAAGGTTTCCCTAGCAGTTGTTGAGCTTACAAACTAATGAACCATGCAGACAGAAGGCAGAGCATGGTGGGGGGAGGCATTTGCACTGTTGGTTTTTGAACAAATCTGGTCACGTCTCAAGGGTTTGCAGAAAATGTTATCTTATTTTTAATAAAAGGAAAAGTTTTCTGGATATTTCTCTTTTCACCAAGTGCTTCACGCTAGCCCAGGGAAGCTCGCAGCAGTGCCAAAGTCCAACAGCAGAGCAGTGGAAGGGGATTAAAATAACAGCAAGGTTGTTTGCTTGGGCAAAGGGAGCAGGGTGGGCTCCTCCAAACCAGACCTTCACCCACAGCTCCCAGGGGGGTGAAGGAAAAGCAAATACCTCAACAGGGAACCAGGCCCCATGGCTCACCTGCTTCCCAAAGTTTTATAGGGGAATGACAGAAACAAACGTGGGTCTGGAAGGTGAGAGAAGGAAACAGGGTTGTAGCCAAGCTATCTTCAAATTCCTCTCCCTAAGGAAGGATGCACAACTTTCCATGTCAACTGTGGCCAGGGTTAGAAGTAATAAGGTAAAACTGCAGCAAGACGAGGCATGCAGAAAGTGTTTATAGCAGTCAGAGCAGTAAAGCACAGGGATAAATTCACCACAGGAACCAAAAATCCCCCCCAGCAGAGGGTCTTTGCAAAGGGGGTCATCCCAAGCAGCACTGCTAAAGCAGGGGAGATGGGCTGGGTGACCCCAGCCTTATTCCCTGCCTCTCCACAAAACACCATTGTGCTTTAGGCAGCAAAGCCTTGATTTCTGCTTATCAGACCCAAAATAGAAAGGCACAGCCTGGGCTCAGGGGGCCTCAGCTCCTAGCAGCTCTGCATGCCCAGGCTGTCCCCCCGACCCCATCCACTGAGCCCCCCGACAAGGAGCCGTGGTGGGCAATGCAGAATGAGCCCTGGCATTATTCCCCAGCCCCTTTTGGGTGGGGGGTGAAGGAACAAGGGGACAGAAAGGGAGGGAGGCAGGCGTTGCTGCTGCCCTGAGCAATGCAGCCTAGCAACCCTAACACAATAAGGCATGGATTTGCAAATTTGGGGATTTGGGGAGCCTCTCAGCAAGGGGAAACTCGCTCTTCTGTGCCTCTTAGGAGAGGCATCACTGCCACTGGCTGCTTTCCTCACCCAGATAGCTCATTCAGGGCTTTCCCTGCAAAACAATTGCCTAAAAATAGGCTGGGAAGGGAGAACCCCATTTATCAGGCTCAGCTTAGGTGAACCGTCTCAAAAAGGGCTGCTTCAAGGCCAGAGCTGTACGAAAATAGCTCCAAACCTCTCAGAGCCCAGCTTTTACTGTCGCTGCCCAAGCGTTTTCACCTGTCTGATTACTGTGTGCTTTTTAGACGGGCCACGCTGGCACCACTCAGAGACTCGCTCGCAGAACAAGCTGCGTTTGCAGGAGTTGCAGCTTCTCCCGAGCCATTTGTCCCACAGAAATACCACACCTGCAGAGTTCTGCTCCTTGTATTCGATTATATTCGTATGGAGAAGCCCAGGGGCAGGGGCAAACCCCACGCTGCCCAGCACAAAGCCATCTCCCCCAGAAAGCCCCAGGGTACGTCCCACCTACCTCAGAGACCTGCGGTGAGGAGATGGATGCTTTGGGAACAACCACGGCTTCTCGAGGGACCCCTTGCCCCAAAAACCACAAACCAAGTCTGTTCCCATCCAGGAGCAGCAGAGATGGGGCAGAAAGGGACACAAAGCTACTTCATGGACCGAGAAACCCAGCCCAGCTGGGGACTGGGCTTAAATATTCTCCAGGGGGCCATGGGGGTGGTGGAGGCCCCAGGTGAGGCTGCTCGGGGCTGTTAAGGCCCAGCAGTGCCCTCAGGGACACCTGGCCCCGGGAATGAGTGCAAAAGCTCCCTTTTGTGGTAAATCGTGTCTTTTAGCAGGGCAAGAGTCTGCCTGGGCTTACAAGAACTGGAAAAGTGAACTGGAAAAGTGCTTGGGAAGCCTTGAAATCCACAAAGACAAGCAGCAAAGAGTGGCACCCTCTGGGTTTTGTCAGCCCCATGGTGAGAGCTGGCGGTGGCCCCAGCTCTCCGGGACATCCTGACCAGGTGGAGCTGCAGCACCGTCCCTATTTTCATCCCTATTTTCATCCCTATTTTGCTCTGCAGGAGTCCAGGAGGGGATGGGGGAACTACAGGCAGCAATGACCTGCTGCAATAACCACCAGGCTCCCCGTTTTCCAGAGACCCACTCAAGTGACAGCAGATACCGAGGGGACACGTTCGGCCACAGCCAGCTGCACAGAAAGCTGCGAGCACGAGTCTTCTTCTCTAGGGTTTTCCCCTGCATTTCCCTTTTCTGCCTCTCAGCACCTCCAGCTTGCCTCTTGGCATCCCTCCCGCATCAGGCGCCGCTTGCTCCCAGTGACGCCGCCACGGCCCATAAAGAGGAGGCAGCAGGCATCATCGTGCGAGCTCGGAGGTGCACCACGGGGCCACCAGACCCCCTGGAGGAGAAGCTGTCACCCCAGCAGGCTCAGCCACCGCTCCTTCTCCTTTCCACCTTTACCAGGAAAATCCACGTCCAAGGTAGGGGTGCGCAGGACGGAGGAGTGGGGAGCTTTGCTGGGGTGGTGAGGGTGTGATTTGGGAAGGGAATGGCATCTGCACTGATTTTTCTGGAGGGAGGTTTGGCACAGCGAATCCGCGGAGCATCAAGGGTGATAATTGCATGTCCATCCTATTCCTCTGCTTGTTTCACCCCCCAGATCCCACCCGATGCATTGCAATGCTCCCAGCTGAACGCCTCTCCTGGTGAAAGCCATCCTCAATCTCTCTTCTCATTTAAAAAAATAAAACAAAAAATACAGAGGTGGCAGCTTAACTCCTCCAGACCGCGCTCTGTCCAAGCTGGATGGAGCTGCAGAAGCAGAGATGTTCCAGGAATGAAGGAAAGCACCGGGATTGATGCCAACCCCTTCCCCTGATGGCTCTTCCCCTCTCCCTGCAGGCTTAGCACCGAGCCCTCTCTCGTCCCGCTCCTGGATGGAGGTCCAGCTCCTAACCACCACCCTGGGGGGGCCAGGACAGTGGACACCCATCGGGGACCCCCCCAACAAGGCGATCCCCTGGCTGGCTGCGGGTCGGTGTGCTCCCATGGGACAGCATGCAAAGGTGGGTGGTGAAAAACCTCCCTGCTTGGGGTTTTGGGGGACTTGTAAATGCCACCAATTACCTGGGAACTCCTCACGCATCCTCAGTTTTTCCATTTTCTGTTTTTTTTTGTTTTGTTTTCGGATTTTTTTATCCCAGTTCTGGGCTTTGGGGTGGTTGGGACTCCCCTGGGGGTAAAATGAAGCTTACCAGAGCACCTCACTCAGGGTGCAGCAGGAGCGCTCCTGCTCCCACACCTCCAGCTTCCCCACCCCAAACCTGCCCACACATCCCCTCGTCCTGCACGAACTCGCCGTCTCTGCCTCCCAGCAAGGAAAACGCAGGGACCTGAGCCAAACCGGGAACTGGTTTGACACAGCCACCTCCCACTCCCTGACCTGCTCTCACAAACCTCTGGTCCGTGGCAGAAAGGATGAGTGACCCGGAATGGGATTCAAAGCCCCTGCAGGCTGCTACCTGGGGAGTTTTCCTTCACCCTCCCGTCTGCCCCTGGGTGATGGGACACTGGAAGCAGAGCTGGAAACTCCCCAGCTAGCCAGGATCTGTCCTGGCAACCCCCTGAGGCACAGCGGGACTTCCCCAGCAGCACTCTGGCTCTGCTCTGAGTCCTTGGGTTAGGAGGATTTGAGTCTCACAACTTCCCCTACACGTTTCTGGTGAAAATCTGCACCAGAAAAAATACCCCACTTCCTTGGGGAGGTGCTCCTGGAGAGCCTGGTGTGTCCAGAGCCACGCCAGCACCCTGGGCAGGATGAGGCTTGCAGCTTTGATGCTGCCGTACCCATCACCTGGTTTCATCCTGCCTCCGGGCATGCTGCCCACCCTTGCCAAAGTCCACCCCGATGTCACACCTTGGCAGACGAGGTGCCTGCGTGCCCCTCTGCCCTGCCACTTGTCCCCTGTGCAGCTCAGGGCACGATGACCCGGTTGTCCTGACCGCCTGTGCCCCGTTTTGCTGCCAACAGGTCGTGGAGCTGCTGCGCCAGGACCTGCAGCACCGGGACCTGCAGGCGGGCTCCCTGGTGGTGAGCACCCCGAGGCTGGCCGGAGGGGTGAGGACGACCTGGAGCACAAGTGCTGGAGACCAGGGCAGGGGGCTTGGTATCCTGTTTCTGTCCATGATGCTGCCAGCAGATAATTTCCAAGAGAATTGAGAGTGAGAGCAAATCACAGAATCACAGAATTTCTAGGTTGGAAACAACATTTCATTTAAAATAAACCGGTCAAAATTTTGGGTGTTGAATTTCACCTGGTGTACAGCAACCTCTCGCTTCAAGGAGACCATAAGTGCTCAGTGCTTCACGAGCTGGTTGTTTTCCTACTTATTTTCGCCCCATCATTTGGCACAGCCCTCTCGGCTCTAAGTTTCAGGCTGACCTCCAGCTGCCGTGGCAAGCAGGCAGGTATCCATGAGCACAGTGATTTAACTCCTTAGGAGAGGATTTGCACTGGGAGGTTGTACCCAGAAATGGGAGGTTACGTTCCTCCTGGGGGGGTACACGAGGGGCTGGAGGAGCACCCAACATTTCAGCAGCACTGGGTTTAGGTCCATAGATTTGCAAAGTTTCCTAAGGCATCTTTCCAAGAGCGTGATGTCCCCAGACGGGTCTGGGGCAAAAATTCAGCAATTTGGGGGCTGTACAAAAGTTGGCTGATTGTGAATTGAGTGGGAAGCGAGCTGCCCGTTCCCTCTGCATCCTGACAAACCCAGCTTTGGCCCTTTGCAACCACAGGCTTCAGGAGCCACTTAAATGGTGCAACCCAAAAGCTCAGACATGCAAAAATATGCACGGCTGGTGGGGCACAGCCAGCAAAGCATCTTCCCAAACCCCTTCCCGTGCTGGTTTTTGTCCTGGCCCCTCCAGCCTGGCCCTTTAAGTAACTTGAGCCTGCAAAGCCCAGTCCCTAACATCAACGGAGAGGGAAAATGCTGCTTTCCCTCCCCAAACCCCTGGGTCTTTCTTTTAAAAAGCAGCACTTCTGGAGGAGGGAAGGGAAGGGTTGGTAAGGATGGGGCAGCGAGCATCCGCCTTCCGCACCGGGGCGAATTCGCCATGCCGCTGCCTTCTCTCCAACCCAAAATACTTCCTGCAGCTTTCCCCCCACCGCCGCCGCTCTTTGGCAAAGCCCAGTTGATTTCCAAACCCTCCATGGCTGCTGGGGGTTGGTGCAAAGGTTTAATTATTTGCTCTTCCTCGGGAGTGGAGCGCCGGGACAGGGAGAAGGTCAGGTCCCGCCGTCAGCGGCTGCAAAGCGCAGCTGGTGGTGCGTGTGGCCCCTCTCCCAGCCCTTCCTTCCCCATCTTCCAGAGCCCACCATGGCTCTGCAGGCATTTTGGGGCTCCATCTCCCTGCTTTGCTGCTCCTTCCTGAGCACGGCAAAAGGTAAGAGGCTTTGGGGCCGAGGCTGCCTTGGGAAGCAGGACAGATGCTCATCCTGGCGCACAAAAAGCATCCCGGGGCTCACTGCTCTGCACAGAGCCCTGCAAAAGCCCCTAAATGGGGAGGGAAGAGGTGCTGCCATGGCAGCTGCCACCAAGCATCTCAGGGGTTTGGGGAATTTGAGGGACCAGGGAGGTCCTTTTGGGGGATAAGGAACAACCAAGAGCTGGGGCTTTTCCAACCACATACAGCACGCAAATATAGAAACTCTTTGGGCAGGCCTGGGAAGTTATCTGGATTTCCATCAATTCCTGCTCAAACTGGGGATTTTTCCCTCCCCTGAGACTGTGCTAATTTTTCAGAGGGATTTTAAAACCCCATTTGTCATTACAACGAAAGTAGCAAAACCATCAAACATTTCAGGCGCTCAGCAAGCGCATCAGATTTGCAGGAGAATTTTAAGTGGCTTTAGAAAAAGAGATTAGACTGAATGTCTGTCGTGGCAAAGGCACCCCTGCCCAAAATTGTACGTGCACAGGAACGAGAGAAGCAACTCCAAGCAATTCTGAACAAGTCAGATTAAAGCAAAGCAGAGTTTGGATCCAAAGCTGCCCCTAGCCAGCTCCATTTTGCCTTACCTTGCAGTAGGTCAGTGATTTAATTAAGAGCTGGAGATTCTGATACAACTACTTATCTACTCGGGAGGGAAAAAAGGGAAAACATAGGATATGAAGAGTACAGTCTCTCTTCTCTCCTAGCAAAAAAAAAAAAAAGTTACTAGTGTTGTCCCCAAGTAAATGCACTTTGCATTAACTAATGCAGAGTGCTGAAAAAAAAACTTCAAAACATTTCTTCCATCCATGGGCACACTCAGAAAAATTTGCTTCGGGATTAAAGAGTTTGCATGGGATTTTCCAAAAGTGCTGAAGTCCCCGAGCAGGGCCCCTTCTTTGGCCATGATTTCCAAGGCAAGAGTGGAAATGCGACCAGGAATATCCAAATATTGGATATATCCATATTGGATATTTGGATACTCCTGGAATACCCAAATTTCCTTTAACCCACAAATATTACAGAAATGGGAAAAGTAGGAAGGGGGAGCGCAGGTGTAGCGGGGTGTGCCACGAGCAGCTGTCCGCGTAGAGAGGAAATTTGGGATTTGTACTACGGGACACAGGCTTCAAAGAGCACCCAGTGCAGTTCACGAGCATCCCCGGTCCTCTGGCACGCGGGGAGCGGAGGGAGCGATGACCACGGCCCCTCAACGTTTGTGCCTGTCCCCAGGGGACCCGCAGGCGCTCTCCTTCCCAGCCGGCAGGCAGTACCAGTACCGCTACGCCCTGGCCATGAGGCTGGACCCCCTGGCCGTGCTGTCCCCCGGGGGAGGCTGGCTGCAGGCGGAGGCGCTGCTCGGGGTGCGCCGGCTCTGGAGGGACCCCGGCGGGGAGGAGCTGCTCCGGGTGCAGGTACGTCTCCTGCAAGGGGTGCTGCTGCTTTTCCTTCACCCCTTTCCCTTGCCAGCATCCCCAGGAGATGCACGGCAGCTTTCCAGCAGACACCGTTGCTCTCTGCTGTCCTAGATCCAGGAGCTGAAAGCCCGACAGCAGCCAGAAGAGGCGAAGGGGCAGGCTGGTGCCGGAGGTCCCCCCGCGGAGATCACGCTGAGCCCGGAGGCACAGGCAGAGCTCCAACAGCCAATTTTCATCTCCTGGAGCAGCGGCAAGGTCAGCTGGAAGCCTCTTGCAGGGATCAAAAGCTTTTCTGGCTACCAAGTTCATACAAGCACCTGCCCTGGCTCTGCTTTCACATCAGAGCACGAGGAGGAGAGCAGTGGCACGTACAGGAGCACATGGTCTACTGCGGTGCAGCATCACCCCGGGTTTATCCCCGTCCTCCAGAAGGGTTTTATCTGGGCTTTGGTCCCAACAGTGGGATGTGAGCTCCTTTCTGACCTTCTCCTCCTTAGAGGATTATTTAAAAAAAAAAAAAGATTTAAACGTGCAGGCGCACCTCCACAACGCCAGCTGAGGGATGCGATAGCGAAACCTTCGGGGCATTGCTTAGGTTGCAAGGGAGATGCCTTTCTCTGGGGGCCCCTGAGAGCTGTCCCCACAGCCTGACAGCACATCTTACCCCACCAGGTCAAAGCCCTCTATGGGGACGAAGCAGAAGGCACCCTGATCTCCAACCTGAAGAGAGGCATCGCCAGTCTGCTCCAGCTGCAGCCCCACGCCGGCACCGCTGTCGAGGTAGGGGGCTGTGATCAGCACCTGGGAGATATAAACCATCTGCAGCTGGTTTTTCAGGACCAGGCACATTTACAGAATTATCCTCTTCCCTTGGATGAAGGGGAAAACGGCCACAAGGGTTTCTGCCAAGCGGGGTTTATCTGTGTTTCAGGAGGACGCCTCTGGAAGCTGCCGGGTCACATACACCGTGTCCAACCACTCCATCACAAAGGCAAAAGACCTCCTCAGCTGCACGAAGCCAAAATTGGGATTCAGCTCTGTGAACAAGGCAAGTTTTTAGGAAACGGGGTTTTATTCAGAGCAGGAGGCATGTCCCACGCCAGGCAGGAGCATCCCAAGGCACGGCGACGCCACCCTGTAATAAAAGAGAAGGCCCACACGGTGTCACCAGTCCTCCACACGCCACGGTCCTCACCAGGGGCTGCCTTCTCCCACCCCCGGGAAGAGATGGGCCCTTTTGGATCTTCCCTTTTTCCAGATTTTTGGAGTCCAGTGGCAGCCCACCAGCAGGAGCCAGTACGTGGTGAAAGCCGGCGTGCTCCAGTCAGTGCTGGCGGAGGAAAGCCACATGGTGGCTCTAGCCCTCAGGTCCACCACTGGCATCAAAATCAGCTCAAGGTGAGCAATGTCCCCATCCCCGTGCCCCTGCCTGGATGGGGTGGCTCGGCATGGGACCAATGAACCCACCAGGGGCTGCTTCTCCCCTAACAGGCAGCAGCTCGAGCTGGTGTCCTCATCTCCTGCCCCAGAAGAGGAGGCCAGAAGGAGCCTGGAGGACGCGCTGGCTGGCACGGATGGCCAGCACCAGCCCCTGGGCATGGCCAGCCTGCCCTTCAGGAGGGGCTGCACCCACTGCCCCTCGGTCGGTGACACCGCACGGCCCCCAAAATCTCCACGTGCCTGGGGTGGATGGGAGGAGGTGGAAGGATTTGGGGTTAAACCGCAGTGAGGGTGCACGACTGGCACATCCAGCCGGGCTAAACGCATCCTGGGGGGGAGGTCAGGACGTGCTTCCACCACTGGTCAGGCTGGCAAGGACAAATTTCTGCCTCCCCCATTCCCCCAGGCATTTCACTTGGTAATTCTGGAGCCACAGGGACTGGCAGGCACTGGTGATGCCCTCAGTCTCTCAAATTGAGAATTTGGGGCACAAGCCCTCAGCAGTGCAGGTGGGACCATGCAGGAGGTCATCTGCTCATCCCTCTGGCTGCATGGCCTAAACTCAGCATCCCAAGGGGCCACTTCCACCCCTAAACGTTACCTGAGTTTAAATATTATCCCTTGACTCAGGATCTGAGAGAAAGAGGCGAAATTCCTCCAAATGTCCTTTCAGCTGGTAGCCTACCTGAAGACCTTTGACGGCCAGAAAGCCAAGAGGGACGTCTCGCAGGCAGCAGCGTGGCAGTTCCAGAGGTTCCTCCAGATGCTGCGTGGTGCCAAGAAGAGAGATGTGCTGCAGCTGCTGAAGAGGGCTCCCGAGGAGATGCTGTGAGGCTTGGGGTCCCTACCTCACCAAAAGGGGCTTTCCGTGCCAATAAATGGCACGTAGGGCCATGGCACGTAGGGACACTTCTGTGCTGCTCTGTAGCTACACCCAGCCCAGGCAGCGGCGCAGTAGCTTTCCCACCATGACCTGACAGTCCAAAATTGCTCTGGTTTTCCTAAATTCCCACACTGTACAACCACCACGTGGCCTTTTTTTTCTTTTGACTAAGCTGGCATTGGAGCAGAGCAAACGCTCCGTTTACAGAACATCCACCCGTGCCCGTAGCATCCATCCTGGTCAGTGTGAGCCCTAAAAATGGGGAAGTTCAGAGCAAGAGCCAACATTTTGGGTCTTGTCCCACAAGAACTGAAGCTCCGATGAGTCCTAAAGCACAGAGAGGGGGATGAGCGTCTTCTCCAGCACCACCAGTGATAACCTCCCTCCTCTCCCTCCAGTCCCTTCATCGTGGAGGCAGCGGTGGCCGCGCAGTCGGTGGCATCCTTGGCAGCTCTCTCAGATTTCCTTGACTTCAGCAAGGAGCCCAAGTCCCTGCTGGAGACATTTCTCTATGCAGCAGCTTTCTCCCCCCGGCCTTCAAAAGAGCTCCTCCGCTTGGTGCTGGTGAGTGGGGACATTCCTCTCCTTCCAGAGGGGTCCGCGTCCAGGGTGGGGCCTCACCTGCTTTCAGCCAGGAGGGAACGGCAAAAAATATTTATCTGTAGATGCACAGATATATTCTATAGACATAAAAGTCCGTAGAAATACACCTTGCTACCCGTAGCTAGAACACACTCCTTTCTCTTTTTCCCTATTCTTCTCCCATTTCCTGACACCCAGGACAAGCTGGATGGGAAGCAGCTGGCCCCCGAGGTGCGGGAGACGGGGGCGATTGCCCTGGGCTCCCTGGTGGGCAAGCTGTGCCAGGCAGCGGCTGCGTGGGCTGCAGGTGGGTCCCTGCTACACCCCATCTTCCCCAGACCCCAAAACCCCCAAGGGCTTCCCAAAACACCTCCCGGGCCTCTCCTCATCCTCCTTCGCTTCTTCTCCCTTGCCAAACCCGACCAGGAGGTGGAGCGTGGCGTTGAAGCCATCCTCGCAGGGCTGAGGGGTGCCAAGGAGGAGCCCGAGGTGGTGATCCACCTGCTGGCCCTGGGGAACGCGGCGCTGCCCGAGACCATCCCCATCCTCCTGGAGCACGCAGAGGAAGGCCCCGCTGCCATCTCATCCGCAGCAATCTCTGCCCTGAGGAGATTCCCTGCCCGGCACATCTCCAGCGAGGTATGAGATGAAGCCACCAGAGCTCTGTGCTTCTTTCCCACGGGGGGCCCCACCACCCTTGGCACCTCTCAAACTGCCCCCTCCCAGGTGAAGAGGGCCATGAGGAGGATTTTCCACGAGAAGAGGAAGAACTACGAGAAAACGTGCCGCCTGGCCGCCGCAGAAATCCTCCTGGACAGCCAGCCCCTGCCCATGGATGTCATCAACATCCTGCTGGCCACGGGGGAGATGGAAACAGAAACGGCGACGTTCCTGCTGCGCAAGGTCCAGAGCAGCCTGCGTGCCCCCCACCACCCCGCCAGGTGGGTTTGGAGCAGGAGGCTGCCTTTTTCCCTGCTTTTTTTTCCTCCTCACTGCTCCAGCTTTTAATCCCCTAAAGCTGGGTCCCCAAAGCAGCCACAGGACCCAGGCTCGTGGCTGCAGGAGTCCTTGGAGGGCAGGGCTCTGGCTGGCAGGGCAGCGCACGGTTTGTAACCGCGTTAATCTCCCTATCGGCACGGAACAAGCCAAGAACTAACAGTTTCCAGAGCTAAGCAGAAGCTGCACAAAAATATACCGATGGTTTATCCTAATAAACCAGAGGAGAGGCAAATTCCAGGGCAGCCCCAGTCTGCCCATTTCCCTCTTTGCTCACGCTCATCAGCAACTGAAACAGCTCTGAAATTCGTATTTCTTTTTCTTTGCCTCATTTCCACTCGTTTTCCTTCCTTCCCGGTCCTTACACGTGGTTTCCCTCTTGCTTCCAGGGAGATAATGAAGGACATCATGGGAGACCCCCAGATAAACAACTACCACCGCTTCTCGAAAGCTGGCATCTCCTCCTCCTTCTTGGGGCCTCTGACAGGTGACACCACGGAGGACACCGATCCCTTGTTCCCATCTAAAGGAGGACAGAGGGGCTGGGTGGGGAAAGGCAGGTTGCAGCAGAGGCCTCAGCTTTATGGAAATGCCCCCAAAACCTCAGGCTGGGGCTTCCGAGCACGTCTCCCAGCACCATCTGATGCTGGCTGCTTGCCACCACCTGAGATGGGTTTGCCCTCCTCTGAGGTCCCTGTGACCACCCTGCTTTCCACAGCAGGTGGGCTGGGCCCCATCACATGTTTTTCCCAAATCCTGCTCATTTGACAGAGGAACCTCAGCTGGAGACAAAGCCAGGAGCAGGCTGTAGGTGGGAGTTTGTACTCTTCCTGATAAGTCAAGATACTTAGCCCCGTTCCTCCGTTCTTTTGGTATTTTTAATAAGGTCTTCAAAGAGGAGAATCCTTGTACCGAGACAAAAATCGCCAAACTTCAAAGAGGCTACAGCAATCAGTGCCTGCTAAATATCTGCTTACATCTTCTCCCCTCAGCCCTCATTTCTGTCCCCCCTCGAGTTATCTCAGCCTAGCCTTGTAGGGGGCAAAATAGCCAACACCTGCAGGAAACCACTGCCCTGCTATTTCAAGAATGGAAGGAGAAGGCACAGGGAAACTTTCCCCCTCTGAATAGTTTAGCTTCACCAGGCATTCATGGGCAGCTCTGTCTTTCAGCCACCCAGGACCTGCTCTCCACTTTTGGGCTGGATCTGCTGTTTTTGGAGGGCGGGTTCCTGAGAAAGAGCGTCTCCGACTTCTCGCTGCTCAGCCACAACAGGCGGCTCCGTGCGGCTCAGGTGAGAGGGCAGCAGTGGGGTTTGGCTTCTCCTCCCCACCCAGAGCACCCCGTAGCAGAAGTCCCAGAGGGGGTGCAGCTTGTTAATTCACCCCCTTGCTCTAAGGGTCACCAAAGGGAAGCCTGGAGAAGGGAGCCTACCCCAAAGGAGAAGGGTTGGACAGATAGCATCATGGTGCCCAAAAATGAGTCTCCAGCTGTGCTCCATGCACCTGACGCGTCCCCATTTCTGTGTTTTAGGTCACTATCGAAGCCCAAGGGATGGAGTCCATGCTGGGAGAGAGCGTCCTGGAAGGGGAAGAGGAGACAGAGCTCATGGCCGGGATGTCCGCTGTCTTCTTCGACGTTCAGCTGCGGCCGGTCGTCTTCTTCCAGGGGTACGCAGACCTAATGGCCAAGGTCCTGCTGAGCAGCGGGGAGCCCACAAGCGTGGTCAAAGGGAACCTCCTGCTGATGGACCATCACCAGGTACTGGATGGGGGTGACCCACCTCGGTCCCCGTTGGCCACCAGACAGGCCCATGCGAGTCCCACACCTAAAATCCACCAGGTCATGCTGGTTGAGGTGGCACTGAGGCAGGTCTCTGGGCCAGAAGCTGGGCCTGGGCACAGTGAGCACTCCCCTCTCCTTCCCCCAGGTCATTCCCCTACAGTCCGGCCTCCAAGTGGTGGTCAAAGTCCTGGGCGGGCTCGGCCTCGACATTTCGGCCAACGTGGACGTGAACATTTGGGAGCAGGAGCTGAGGACCAGCATCAAGACCAGGTCAGCGGGTGGGGAGCTGCTTGGCTGGGGGGGGATACGGGATCTCCAGGGGGCTCAGCACCCAAAACAAGGGCTGCCCCACCTCAGGCTGCCTCCTGCTGGGTCCAGCCGTGGTGGACACATAGGGTCTTCAATTCCATGGCTGGACTTACAACAGAGGTGTTTGAGGAGCTGCCCAGTGCCCAGGGTCTTTGCTTGGTGACCAGACTTGCGTGCTCCCCTCCTGCAGGGGAAGCCTCGCCATCGATTTCCAGGCAGAACTTGATGCCCCTTTCCTCCAAACCACCGTGAGAAGCCAGACGGAGGCAGGAGTCCTCCATCCACTTCGACACCTTCCTGAGGTTCTCCAGCAGCCCGGTGCTCATGTGCCTGCAGCTGAGAGAGGAGCAGGTCCCATACAGGTAAGCTCCACGGAGCAGCGACACTGGCATGGAGCCCTGCAGAGGAACACGGTGCTCGGGAAGGATGAGGTCCACCAGCACGGCCTCCTGACCTCCTGCTATCCCCTTGTTCCAACAGGGAGATCTTCACAGTCTCCAGATCTGCTGGGAACCAGAGCAGCACGGCTCGGAAGGGCAGGCATGGTGCCGTGCCCAGCCGGGAGCTGGCCCTGCACCGGGACAACTCCAGGGCGTGCAGCCTCCTGCTAGCAGCAGAGAAGGAGGCATAGGAGAACCAGAGCACTTTGGGACTGGGTTACTGCATCCCCTCCTGCCACGTGCCCCAATTCTCCATGAGCCCAACGTGCCCTGCCCAATTCCACCACAGCCACGCTGGGAAATGCTGAAATGGGGGCTTCAGAAGAGACCGAGAGGAACTGCTGCAGGTCATCAAGAGGTATCTCTGGTTTGGGGCCAGGTCTGACCTTCCCACCCTGGACTTTCCTTGTCCTGAGCACTTCTCCTTCACGGCTCGCTTGAAGCCAGAGCAGTCCATATACCAAGCCTTGTAAGACTCTGCCTTCTGCTGCAAACAAGTTTCTGATAGCCTAAGAAAGCGTTCTGCAAGCTGATACCCCAAAATGCCGTGTTTCCCCCACCCCATTTATTAGGCAGTCAGAAGGGCACACAGCTACAGCTGGCCAGCAGCAGATTGCCCACAGAGGGAGTGAATGGCACACACACACACACACACCCTTAACGCACAGTTTTGTGATGCTGAGGAACACACAAAAAAATATTTCTGGAGGAGGTACGGGGTTTCTTCTATATATGTACATGTGTTAATGCAGCCACATAGACATTCACCCCAGAATAATCCTCAGGGAGAAGCAGCACAGAAAAACAATAAAAATAAAAAAATAAAAAAAAATAAAAGAGAAAAACAATAAAAGATAAAGATAAAAGGTAAAAAACATGGGACAAGTGGTGGAGAGCCACCAGCTGCTGGGGGAGGTCAGGAGGAGATGGGGGACTGTGGAGCCTGGAATGGCTGCAGGAAAGGGGAGGAACAAGGGGGTGCCAAGGCATTAAACCATCCCCACAGCTCTGCACATCCCCCTCGTGGTGCTGATCCTCACAGGCCTTTTTACTCCTGCATGAGATTTTAATATAGGAAAGAAAATCTGAAAGATGATTTGAGATTACGAGGACTCCCAGCCTGGGGCAAAGACACCAGAAGCAAAAAAATGGTTACCCCAACAGGGGTGCAATACAGAGCTGGATCTGCAGCCAGCAGTGCCCAGCTGGAGAACCAGATGGTTTCAAACCACATTTGGATAGTTCTCCATCCTGGGGGTATTTATTAATTTTCACTGGTTCAGTCCATCTCACGGGACAAATGCAGATGAAAAGAGATCAAGAGGGCAAAACTGAAGTCGTCCTTTCTGGATTTGAGGGTCTGTCACACAAAGCTTGGCCAAGTACTACAAAACTGCTGCTTCAGGGAATCAGGGTGGTCATTATTCAGCCAAAATTGGTGAAGCTGAGCCCTGGGGTCACACCTGCACCCCATCCCCTTCCTCCTCCTTACAGAGGCCAGCCAACACCACCAGGCAGGCATTCTGCTTGCATGCAGAGTCCAAACCCATCTATTGAGAGAGGTGGCTCCTGCCTAGGGCCTCTCATCTGCTTTTTGATCCAAAGTTTACATATTAATGGGGAAGCCTCTGGCCCCTCTTATCAGCCGAACAGCAGTTCCCCTTCCCTGCTCCCCGAGGCAGGGGATGGAGATAAGATTGCCCCAGCCCCACGCGGGGAAGGCAGCGTTCCAGCAACAGAGATACGGCAGCTTCCCTTTTCTGCTGAGATTTGGGCTCTTTTGGTGACAATTTATGAAAATCGCAATTAGCTTTGAGTAAATATTGTTCTTCTGTTTTGCATTCTCCTCCCAAGCTGGATTGTTATCGGGCACGGACGCTGAACACCTCTCCAGCACGAGAGGGAAGCTTGCAAGGAGCAGCAGTGCTTCTTCGCTCCTTCCCGATAAGGAGGGGCCTTTGAAATATTTTTAGCCCTTTTCTGTATTAGAAAACTTGCTTTTTTGGGAATAATAGGGAAATTGGGATTGTTAAAATTGAGAACCTGATGTTAATGTAGCAGTCTCCTGCTTTTTGGGGAAGGAAACTGGTCTGCTTCTTCTGGATGGCACTAATTACCAGGGCTTTGGTTATGTACAGAAATAAATGCAGTGGGTTTTTTGTATTTTCTCTTTGACTCTTGACTTCTCTGGACAGAGAGGTGATCCCATAGATGCTCCCAGCGCAAACAACATGGCCAAAGCCACCCCAAATCCATGCTCCCCGGGGACCTGCTGTCTGGATCCATATTTAGGGTGCCCTAGAGATGCGTACCCAAATGCCCCCAGCAGCGCTGCAGGATGGGGACATGAGGGGCCACTTCTGCTCCTGAAAGCCCCCGGAGCACCTTTAGGGGTGACAGCAGCCCTGCGAGAGGTATTCCATGGGGCAGGAAAGGTTGTCTTATCCTCTCCTTCCCCTTCCTGGGAAGGTACTGGAGGCCATCCAAGACACAGCTTGAAATTTGGGCTTCCCCTGCATCAAGGCTCCGCTGGTTACGGGACGATCTCGCACAGAGCGAACCTCAAGGATGCAGCGAGAAACCACCCCGGGACTTGCCCTCGGGTCTGAACAGGAGGATCTGGGTGACCGTGGGAGGAGGCAGCCCCTATCTCCTTGTTGTGCTCGCCAGCTCGCTGATAGCCGGTGGGTGAGCGAGGAAGGCAGCAGCAGCAAGCCCCCTCTTCCTCCACGTCCCACTCGCTCCCCATCTTCACCCTTTCCCCAGGGAGCAGCCCATCATTTCCCATTTCCCATCTCGTGGTTGGGATTTGGGCGTTTCGCCAAAAATAGGTGGCACTGTCTGCTTGTAGGACACCTCCTGGAGCACTTTTAGCAGCTTCGCATGCGGAGCTGCAGATCAGCAGTGACCTCCAGCGGCTGCAGCCGGTCCCCGTGGGGGTGTCCACCCCAAAAACCTCTCCCCGTGGCCATACAGGGTCTGGGTGCACAGCACCAGCACCCCGCTCCTTCCCTCTGTGCCAGCCCATGCCCAGCACATGGCGTACAGCCCCTGGGGACGCCGCCCACCAAACGGGGTGATAAAACCCTATCTGCCTGTCTACTCCAGCTTTCTGCAGACAAAACTAAGCCAAAAAAGCAGGCACAGAAGCAAGGAGGATGTGTGTGAGAGGACAGAGCACCCCCGGGGCCAGGCTCCCCCCAGGAGGCATCAAGGTGCGCATTTAAGGCACTGGGGCAGATCCCTTAACATCCCCTGTGCTTTCTCTCCTTGCAAGGCAAATAAAAACCCAACATTTCCAAGCTGCTAGGCCTCAGCAACTGCACAAACCCCATGGAAAAAATCCAGAAAAAAAGCAGCTTGCGACTCACCAGGTCTCCCATACAGCTGGGATCAGGCTACAGCGGGCATCCCAAGCCCAGGAGCACTTTGGCCACGCACATCACCCACGCACGCCTGCAAGGCTCTCACAAAACACGTGCACAAGCCCCCAGGAGCATGCCCTGGTGGAGGAAACCGTCCTGGAGCACCTTGCAAACACACAGGAGGGCAGGATGGTGGGTGGGTGGTGCTGATATACCCGCTGCAGCAATCAGGAAGCATGGAAGAAAGCTGAGGGGCTGCAAGCGGGCACAGCTGCGCAGCCCCAGTGGCTGTGGCATGGGGTTATCCCCACGGGGAAGCTCCAGGTGGTCCCGTACAAGCAGGGGATGGACCAGGCGACCTCCAGAGGTCCCTTCCAGCCTCATCTCTTCTGTGATTCCGTGGTTTTGGATAACACGGGGATGTTCCAGAAAGCCCTCCTGGGCACCTTGCCCAAATATTTTGGCATTCACAGCCTCGGAGGCTCAGCTAAGCGAGCCGTGGTGATGCTGAGAGAAACAGAAACATCCACCCCTCGGCTACCGTGGGTGGAGGAGCCCCTCCATGGCAAATACCACGCAGGGTAACACGCCACCAGCTGCCGTTCCCAGCCTGGCTGCGTGCAGCCACCATCCTCAGCGAGCCAGCCAGGGCTGGGGACCACCAAATCCGCATCTCAGCCACATCCCAGCCGCAAAAAGCGCAGCGAGTGCTGGCTCAGCAGGACACACACCCTCTCCCTCCAGCCCCTTGCCGTGTCCTTGAGCACTCCTTCTGCCCAGCTGCTCCCTGGCAGCGCTCCTATCTCCAGGTGCCGCCCCCCAGGCCGCCCATAAAGGCGCGAGGGGACGCCACGGGGTGCCTGTCCCCGAGCCATGCTGCAGGCCACCGTCAAGCTGTGCTGCGGCATCGCCCACGACCACCTCCGCAGGCTGCCCGGTGAGTACCCGGGGAAAACGCAGACCTGAGGGGCTGGAAGGAGGTGCTGGGGGGGGTCAGAAGGAGAACCTGGGGGGAGATGCTCAGCAGGTCCAAAAGGAGATGCTCAGGGGGTCACCATCGTTTGTGGCAGAGGCAGGAGAGCCAGGAGCCTCCTTTCCTTTACAGCCCCAAAAAATGCACTTTTTTTTTAATGCTTTGCATCTTTCTCACGTGCTCAGTGGTGACCAGCACACGTCTCTCCCCCAGGCCTGAAGCTAACAGCCGTGGCAGCGATACAGAGGGACGTGAGAGGGCTGGTGCTGAGAGGCTCCCACCACCTGCCCCCCGAAATCCCTGCTTATATCCAGAGGCTCGTGGGGAAGGACGCTGGTAAGCAGCCTGCTCAGCCCACACTATGTTTTTCAGCCCCCTTTCATCACGGGATGGGCAGTAAAATGCCCTGATTTGCCCCGTTATTATTTGGTGGGACAGAGCTAGTTGGCTTCTCGCCTCTGCACTGGTCTCCAGTAGCCGAAAACTGGTGGCAAGTTGGGGCAGACGCTGAGGTTTTGGAAAGGCCAGGGCTTGGTTTGTGTCTGCAGTTCCACCTGCTTACCTAAAGTCCTAAAACATGGCAAATTCTTTAGGCTTGCATTTCTCCTGTGCCCGACACGCTATCCTGGACACGTGCAACCCCAAACAAAGCTGGGGAGGGGGGCGAGCAGAATTTTTCATATTTTTCTGCGTTCATGCTTGCTCCTAAAGCCAGGTGCGCAGAGCCCGGAGGAGACATCAGCACCTGCCAGTTCTCCAGCACAGATCTCTCCTACATCCAGCAAGGAGAACGAGCCCTGCAGCGAGCGCTGAGCATCCTGCAGCACCCCCCGAGCTGGCAGGCAGAGCCCATGCTGGTAAAGCCCCCGAAACCAACTCCTTTACGCGCCACACAAGCTCGGGGGCGCTTGGGGGAGAAGGTTTGACGCGGTGCTGTGCTCCGCAGGACGCCGGGGCCGCCGTGTCCAGCGCCGTGCTGCCGGGGCTGGGCAGGGTGTTTCGGGTAGAGGCAGTCCTGGCCGCACCGCTGGGCTGGCTGCACCGCCAGCTCTTCGAGGAGCTGGAGCAGATGCCCTGCTGGAACCCCACCCTGAGCCGCGTGGAGGTAGGCAGGCACGTTTGGCCTTGGCCAACGTCCCATGGGGGTGGGAAACGGCTGCAGACTGAGTTCTCCGGGCCCGCAGGTGCTGCAGCGCCCGGGTGAGGACACGCTGGTGACACACGAGGTGACCAGCGCCAGCCCCGTGGGCCGCAGGGACTTTGTGAGCGTGCGGCACCGCCGGCGGACGCAGGCGGCCGTCTACCTGGTGGGCACCGCCACGCGCCTCGAGCGGCTGCCGGCACAGGAGGGCTGCATCAGGTAAAGCACCGGGGCTGGAAGGAGACCCCGCAGCGTGACCCCAGAGGGACCCTTGCCCCCTGAAACTCCCCTTCTTCGCCCGCCACAGGGCTGAGACGCGGCTGAGCTGCATCGCGCTGCAACCGCTGGCGGGGGACCCTGGCTGCACCCGCGTCACCTGGCTGCTCAGCGTGGACCTCAAGGCGAGTGGCACCCAAAACTGCCCCCGGCATAGCACCCCAGCTCCATCCTGACCCTTTGGGTGCTTTTCTTCCCGCAGGGCTGGATCCCCTCTGCTGTCACCGACCGCGTCCTGCCGCGGTGCCAAGCTGACTTCATCGGGCACCTCCGCCGGCACCTCTCGGCCACCACACGGCCGTGACCCCCACATCGCCCCGAGGGCACCCCAGACCAGCACCCCATCTTTATTTATTTGGAACAGCTCCGCTCTGTATTTATACGTGTGTATATATGTACATAGGGATAGGATTTTCCCCTCCTGTGCCACCCGGAGCACGCGCAGCCGGAGCAGGGATCACCGAAAGCGCTGCAAAAAACACGGCGTGGAGGAGCAAAGCTGCACAGCCCCTGCTGGGGGTCACGAAATGTTAGGCAGCCCTTTCAGGGTGCTTGTAATTTATACGTCCAGCTGGTTTTCTGTCTTATTTATTGGGGAAAAAAAACGCTGTTGAAACAGCTAGGTGAAACTGGCTGATAAATAGGAGTTAAATAAAACAAAGAGCTGGTTTCTGACCCCGTGAGACTCATTTCAACCACATGCAGGTCGCACGCTCATAAATTATTCCCCCACCTACACCCCAAGTAAATCAACAGAAACAGAGAGTGGTGTGCATTTTTCTCTTCTTTTTCTTTTTTTTTTTTAAACATTATGTTAGAGTTCCAAAAAAAAAAAAAAAAAAAAAGGCGAACCCAACGAAATTAATAAATATTAAAAGTTAAAAAGCTCTGAATCTGGTATGTACAAAACTTTACACATCGCATCGCTGGTGGCAGCGCGGGAGGGAGCAGAAGCCGGTGGGGTACGAGGGGCGTGGGGGCAGCACCCCTGTGCCAAAACCTTGTCCCCTCTGCGGCACCGAGCGCCCCAAAAAAACAAGGCACCGACCCCCTCCGCCCTACAGCAATGAACCACTGCAAAAACTACTGCAAGAAAGCCCTAATGCCCAGGACAGCACCGACCAGGGGAGCACAGCTGGTAATTTTTTTTCAGGGCACCCAGGCAGCGGGAGAGGTCCGTGCAGCCTCCCGCCGGGCTCTGCACGGGGTGGGGATGCTCCAGGGAGCGCAGACGGCACCCGAAGCGAAGCGTTATCTTTGGCACAATAAATAAATGCTGCCCCTCCCGGCGGAGGGAGCTGCAAAAAGGGGCAGGGTGGGGCGCACCCCGCTCTGTCCGCGTCCCACGGCGAGGTGTGCCGGGTGCTTGGCTCGACGCGTGGCCCCGTGCCGTGCCCGATTCATGCCTACGGGCAGCGGTGCGGGTGCTGTTTAGAGCAATGCTCGTCCAGCCTCGACTCGGAGGTGATGGGGGGCAGGAGGAGCCTCTTCACGTCTCTTTGGCCCTTTTGGGATCATTTGAGTTCCTCTGAGCTGCCCTGACCTCAAACACCTTCTGACCACGCACCTGCTGTGGGCGCAGCACCCTGCCTGCGCATCCTAAAGGCTGCCAGCACCCCTGGCCACCTCGCCAACGCGCCCTGGAGACCAGGTGTGGGCGCACACAGCACCACAACCCTGCTGGATCACAGCCCGGTTACTGGAAAGGGGGGAAAAGGAAGAGCACAGAGGAGCTGGCAGCCTCCTGCAGCTCTCCGTGCCCCGTGCACACAATGCGTGGGTTTCCTTCCTGGAACCCGAGCACCGAAATAAAACCCTGTCTGCCACCTCTCCTCCGGCCACAAGAGGGAAGATGCTCAACGCCTCCTGTGCTCCCAAAGTGCTGTGCATATATTTAGTACTCGGCACAATGTTTTAAGGGCATTACTCACCCCCCCTCTCCCACTGTAAAACAAAAGTTTGGGGGGCGAGAGGGCAGCTCCCACCTACAGAGGAACACTAACCCCTTGGAGCTGAGCCCAGCGTGATGCCATGGGCACAGCGGCGTTCCTCCTGGCATCGGGGCTTCCTAGCTTTCCCCACGGGACCCCACAACGTCTTGGTGCCCTACAGACACTGGACACAAGGGAGAAAAGATTGGGGTTTTGGTCATGGGGACGCTGGGAGCTGGTGTTAGTACAAAGCTGGCCACGGGCAGTACTGGCTAAAAAAGTCACCGCCGGGTGACAGGCATTGTGTAAACCCTGTTTCTGGTCTTTGGCCTTGTCCTTATTGCTCGTGCTACGGTTGGTCCTCGTAGAGGAGGTCTCAGAAAAGAGGTTTTTGAGGGAGACCCCAGCTCCTACCCCAAAGCTGGGGCACCACAAGCACCGTGCCAAGCGCTCTGGCAACGCGAGGCGGGTCCTGCAGGAGGCAGGGGCTGGCCGGGGAGCCAGGGTCCTCCTCCCCATCCTATTTTGTGCTCCTGCTTGTGGGGAGAGGAAAAGGCAACATTAAAGCCCCCCGTTTAGCACCTGGAAAGGCAGTGGCCGGTGGCTCCCGGCCACCCACAGAGGTAAGAGGCCCGTCCTGCAGCCGAGCTGCTTTTTACTCCTTTTGACCTTTTTCTTTTTCATCCCTGCGGCACTGCCAAAAAAGTGCCACAGCAGGGAAGGGGGGAGGAATAAAAATCACGGGGAAACAGCGGCTTTCCCAGGAATTTCGGGGTGAGCCAGGTTGTCTCCAAACCTGGCTGCCTGTGAAAACCACTGCTGGAAGCGAGGGGAAAGAGAGGGGGAGATGGAGAGGGAGGAGGAGGGAGGAGGAAGGCTCCACGTGGCCAGGGGGTCCCGGAGGGGTTACCTGGCTGCATGGCCCCTGCCCTCGCCCTGTGTCCCCTCCGATGGCTCGCTTGGGGCTGGGGTCCCGGCGGTGGCACCCACCCCAGGTGCCCCCGGCCCTGGGGAGCCAGGGGGCAGCGGGGAAGTGGGGCCGGGGGTTCCTGCGGGGGAGCTGTGGGGGGTACCAGCAGGCGAGGCGGTGACGGAGGCTTTCTTGCCACAGGACTCGCAGCACAGCTTGTTGTAGCCGGGGATGGAGCAGTAGCGGGCCAGGACCTCCATCTGGCAGAAGATGGACTTGTCCCCAAGGCACGGCTCCCCTGGAGAGGGACGGGGACAGAGCGGAGAGCGAGCATCAGCGAGCACGCGGGGGCAGAGGTGGAAAAAGGTTCAAGGCCAGTGCCCAGGGAAAGGCAGAGGGCAGTGTGGTGGGTCCCCAGCTCCACGAGGTGGCAACCGAGCGCCGGGCTGTGCGCCACAGCCGGGCAGGATGAGGCAGCCGAGGGTCAGATTCAGCCCAAGGGGGCTGCGGGACGCATCCTACCCCCAAACCACCCCCACGGGAGATTGCAGGGGGTCACACAGGGGCTGGTAAGGAGGCAGTGAATGAGGACCAGTTCTCACCCTCGGACACTTACTGGGGGAGATCTTGCTAACGGGGTTTTTGGGCCCCTCCTGGGGTACCCACTGCCCTCCGGGCGTGACGTGGTCGCTGGTGTCGGCGCTGGCCGTGATGCTGGAGGGCTTCCCTGCGGAGAGAGCGCTGGGTCAGGCTGCGGGCACTCAAAATGGATTAAAAGCGTGGTTTGGGTGTTTTGTTGTTCTTTTTACATAGATATTTACATAGATATTTATTTTTTACATAGATATTTATGTTGGGTTTTTTACATAGATATTTATTTTTTTTTTAAAGACACAAGGTCCCTCGGGGATCCTTTTTGGGATGGCCACCCAAAATAAAATCCACATGCCTTGGGGGCACACAACAAGGCCAGGTCCCCCATACCCCCTGGTGCCACCGCTCTCACCCGGACAGACGGACACGTGGCAGCCCCGGACAGCCTCCGGCTTGTCCCCGTGGCAGCGCCCACCGCTCTCACTGCCCTTGCAGACCACCTGCCGCTGCTGCACGCCGTCCCCGCAGCTGGCCGAGCACTGCCCAGGGGGAGAGAAACCGTGTGGGTGACGGCTCTGGGGACACCCCGGTGGCTGGGAAGGGTCCCCAGGGCCCCAGGCAGCTCACCTGCGACCAGGCTCCTGTCCTCCACTGCGCCGGGCAGGGCAGGCGGCCGCAGGGCCGGCGTGTCTCCGGCCGCTCGCCGCTGCAGTACTTGGCGTGCAGGGTGCGGTTGGTGCCGTCCCGCAGGCGCTGCACGCACTGCACGGCCCGTGCCTGCAGCCCCAGCTTGCCGCAGGACTTGCTGCAGGCGCCCCACTCCTCGGCCACCCAGCTGCAAGGGTCGGGGGCAGTGTTAGTGGCAGGGCGGGAGAAGCCCCTGCTCGCCGCTGTTCAGCCCCAAATTGTTCAGTGAGGGGGGACGGGAGCAGATAAACAGCCACACAACCAGGCACCCAAACAACCCATCCATCCACCCAACCAGCCACCCAACCAACCAACCAGCCACCCACCCAATCCATCCATCCACCCACCCATCCACCCAACCAACCCATCCATCCACCCATCCATCCACCCAACCAGCCACCCAACCAACCACCCATCCGACCCATCCATCCACCCAACCAACTACCCACCCAACCAACCACCTATCCATCCAACCACCCAACCATTCACCCAACAACCCAACCACCCATCCACCCACCCAACCAACCACTCACCCATTCACCCAACCCATCCACCCACCCAACCAACCACCCAACCACCCACCCAACCAACCCATCCACCCACTCACCCACCCAATCACCCAACCATTCACCCAACAACCCAACCACCCATCCACCCACCCAACCAACCACCCACCCACCCACCCACCCATCCAGGGGGACTTACGCAGGCTGGGAGCACTCCTGCAGGTTGCACCGCCGGCGGATGGGCTTGGGCTTCTTGCCGTTGTCGCACAGGTTCCTGTGCACCATGCGGTTGTCGCTCTTCCGCCGGCAGCCGTACTTGGTGTACTGGATGCCTGGGGGAGCGGGGTGTGGGCACTGAGGGGTCCCACAAGGCTCCCCGGCCCCCTGCACCCCCATCAGATGGGTCCTCGGAGCTCCCGTGGGACCCCAGCGCACCGCAGCGCTTCACCCAGGCTTGCCGAGGATGCTCTGAGGGGTGCTGGACCCCCCCGGGGTGCACGCACAGAGAGGGGCTGCAAAGGCTAAGCAAACTCAAGACCTCCCCCAGAACTGGGTGTGTTTTGGGGGAAACTGAAGGAGCACAGCTGCGTTTCTGCAGCCAGGAGGAACAATCAGCACACGGCAAGCGCGGCCAACGCGCTGCTGTGCTCTGCCAACCCAACGGCGCTTGCCCAGGAGCGGAGCAGATCAGGGCTAAGCTAGCATAAAACGTGAACTGTCTGTCACCCCGTGGGACAGCCCCGCTGCAGCACGGCCAGCGGAGCAAGCGAGGGCTCGGTTCCCATCTCTGCGCGTCCCAGAATCTTCCAGCAGCCACGCCAGGAGCGGCAAGGCGCGAGCCAGCACAGCCTGCTTCAACCTTCTCATTTATTTCAGCACGGAGCCGTGGTTTACTCGCTCTGCTCCTTCACCAGCCTTGTGGCAGAAGGAGGAAAAACCCAGGGGAAATAAACGCACCCGCCCTCCCTCTCAGCACCTCCTGCTGGGTCTGCCTATTTCCACGCAGGTTTTGGTGGCCTGCAAGATGCTGCTCCTTGGCCCAAACTGAACCCGCTGCTGCCTTAAACCAAAAGTGACTTCTACAGAGATGCCCCGAAGGGCTCAGGCACTGCCTGACACCCAAACAACCTCCCAAGTGCCCCCCGGAGCCTCCCACAAGGGGAAAAGTACCTCCTCCGCACGCCTTGGAGCACTGAGACCAGCTCTTGAGGGCCCAC